AGAGTTTAATGTACAATAACTCAAAAACAACTCATTTTTGAACTTTGTGCCTATGGAGACTTTTGATCAGGACGATCAGAACTACAAAATATCAAAAATTCAGCTACATTAGCTGGGACCCATTTTCACGTGGTTTTGTGCGGGGTCCTTTGGAAGTTAATTTAGAAAAGGAAAGAGATCAGGCTAGAGATATAGCGTATTCTACTAATAAGAAACTTCAAAAATATAATAAAACCCAGTATGATGAGAGACATAAAAAGATATCTACGTACAAAGTGGGAGATCTGGTATTGATAAGAGTATTGCAGCATAAGCCAGGCACTAACATTAAACTAGCCCCAAAATATAAGGGACCTTATCGGATTAATGCGGTACTAAAAAAGAATAGGTTTGTAGTAGCTGACATACCTGGATATAATTTAACGCAAAAACCACTTAATACGATATTGTCAGCAGATAAATTAAAACCTTGGATAAGGACAGCAGGTCCAGAAAATGAGGAGAGATCGGAAAACGAAATAGAAAATGATTCTTCTGCCTCGGAATAATGAAATTATCATTCAAAAATATATAAGTTACGAGTGAATCAATAAGCAAAGGATGGAGAAAAAAAAGAGAACTGGATGTTGTGAAACCAAAATTCTGCTAAAAACACATAACAAATTTGCGTTTGAAATAAGTAACATTAAGTTAATCTATATTGTTCTATTATATTATAAGGTTTTACTATAATTGATGTATAAAGTTTTATGAAAAATGATATATGATTGTAATAGTGGTGAAGAATAGTGTTTTTATGGAAATCAAGTGTAACATTGCGAAAAAAAAATTTTTACATTGTAAAGTTAAAATAAGTTATGCGTTAAAGATACGTGCGAATAACGGTCAATAAAAATGTATGTAACGATAATGCGAAATGGTAAAAAGATATTGCGAAACAAATTTATAGTGCGGCTAGTTTGGGGTCGAACTTACAGTCAGAATGGCCGAACTGTAAGATCCTATAAGGAATAGCGTATCAATGCGGTGCTAGATCTGGGTGATATTGATGGTTCCGCGATCATTCGATAATTGATTAGAGGGCGCTAATGCCGGAAAGGAGTGATATCGCGAAATAAAGAAAAGCTCTCGTCTTCTGCGCGAATCACGAAAAGAGTCGGACGTGTGCGTATAGGCAGGTGGGCGTACCTAGCTATAATTCGACAATTCAGTGTGGTGGCTTTTTCGTGTAAGTTGGATATTTCGGGCGTGTTATATCCAACAACGTTCAGAAGGAGTAACGCGGGCGTGCTTGCTTCCCTTCTATTAAAACGTGCCTCAAAACTATACCGTGAGCGTACGGGAAGCTTCTCAGCTGAAAGTGGCTGCTTATCGGAATATTCATGTATTTTGCCAGGGACATTGGTCGCTATCATTTATATCTGTACGTGTATCAATCTAAGTGCTTGTATTAAATAAATCATCGTCCGTTTCGTTTGTTTTAAATTATGAGTCTCGTATATTATAATCCTAGCCATCTGGTAATAAGAAATATTCAGAAGCACGATCTTACAAATCACATGCACGTGTGTCACAACATATAATATTTATATTGACAAAAATGCCTTTTAGCATTTTTACGTCTCGCTGCCAGAAATCGCCCGAAATCCTTTTTCTACATTTCGGTAACGCAGCGAGACAAAAAAAACGGCACGGGAGAGAGGGGAGTGTGTCCGTGAGACAAACAAACTCGCCGCTCGAGCTCCATGCTGTTAGCTGGTAGTGAGACAAGGACGAGATTGATGTCCGTCTAACTAATTAACCTACTCGCATTCCTGCACATAGCACGGAACACCACCAAAAGATCGTGGACATAACCGACAAAATCGTGAACATTGGCTACGTAGTTCAATGCCCACTTTCCAGAGGCGCTGAAACCAGCTCAATCGCAACCAGGTCCCCGCTAAATCGCGGGCATGGCCGCTCTCACGATCCTCTCCATGGTGGAAATATTTCTACCATGATCCTCTCTGACACACATCGGAAACACACGCAGGGCAGACAAAACGTA